CTTTAAACGGCAATCAATTTTGATTCAGCGATCACCTACCTCCGTCCAAGCTGCGGCCGTTAAGTAACGTTAGGGCTCCACCTTTGATTGACGAATTCCAAGGAGCACTGAACTTACGGTATCGTGTCGCCATGGGCAAACGACAGAGCATCTTCCACGTGTCATTTTCTAATTCGTTGAAGCAGCTAGATCTCTCCATTTTCGTGACGAAGTCGATTTCCTTCTCTCCTATAAATCAATACCCAATCCCTAACCCTCTCCATTCATCGGAAGAAAAAGCACATTCATCTCCTTAGCAGATTTTCAGCAGATTTTCTCAAGGTTTCTTGGATTTTACTTTTCTTTTTCTCGGTAGCCAAACAGGATTACGGTTTTCATCTTTTGGTTCTGATTTTCTTTGTTGTGAATATTTACAGATGCAGATCTTTGTTAAGACTCTCACCGGCAAGACCATCACCCTCGAGGTGGAGAGCAGCGACACCATCGATAATGTCAAGGCTAAGATCCAGGACAAGGAAGGGATTCCCCCGGATCAGCAGCGTCTGATCTTCGCCGGGAAGCAACTCGAGGATGGCCGTACTCTTGCTGACTACAACATCCAGAAGGAGTCCACCCTCCATCTCGTCCTTCGTCTCCGTGGTGGTATGCAGATCTTCGTCAAAACTCTCACCGGCAAGACTATAACCTTGGAGGTTGAGAGCTCCGACACCATCGATAACGTCAAGGCTAAGATCCAGGATAAGGAAGGTATTCCACCAGATCAGCAGCGTCTGATCTTCGCCGGCAAGCAGTTGGAGGACGGCCGTACACTCGCCGACTACAATATTCAGAAGGAGTCAACCCTCCACCTTGTCCTCCGCCTCCGTGGTGGTATGCAGATCTTCGTCAAGACCTTGACCGGCAAGACAATCACCCTCGAGGTTGAGAGCTCCGACACCATTGATAACGTGAAAGCTAAGATCCAGGACAAGGAAGGCATCCCACCGGATCAGCAGCGTCTGATCTTCGCTGGCAAGCAGCTGGAGGATGGCCGCACCCTTGCCGACTACAATATCCAGAAGGAGTCCACTCTCCACCTCGTCCTTCGACTCCGTGGTGGTATGCAGATCTTCGTCAAGACCCTGACCGGGAAGACAATTACCCTTGAGGTCGAGAGCTCCGACACCATTGACAACGTTAAGGCTAAGATCCAGGATAAGGAGGGCATCCCACCAGATCAGCAGAGGTTGATCTTTGCCGGTAAGCAGCTCGAGGATGGCCGCACTCTGGCTGACTACAACATCCAGAAGGAGTCCACCCTTCACCTCGTGCTCCGTCTCCGTGGAGGAATGCAGATTTTTGTCAAGACTTTGACTGGGAAGACAATTACCCTCGAGGTGGAGAGCTCGGACACCATTGACAATGTCAAGGCGAAAATTCAAGACAAGGAGGGCATCCCCCCAGACCAGCAGAGGCTGATTTTCGCTGGAAAGCAGCTGGAGGATGGAAGGACCCTGGCTGATTATAACATTCAGAAGGAGTCTACCCTTCACCTTGTCCTGCGTCTGCGTGGGGGTCTCTAAGCTGCTGTTCTGATTAAGAATCAAGATGTGTGTGTTTTCTTCCATTCTGTGTTAAGGGATGATGAGTCCCTTGGAATAAATCTGTGTTTCTCTTCTGCCTTCTTTCCACCTTGTTTTGTTACCGAACTTTTCATCCTTTCAGTTGTTGAATAAAATCTGGTGCTTTTTGCCCAAATCTTATGATTAATTTTCTGTTCTTGGTTTGCATTTGATTATCTATTGTTTCTTCTTTTGGGAATGAATAGAATTCAATTGATAAAAATTGTGCGTTTAAAGGATCCCATGAAAATTATGTGTTACAAAGTACATTCAATATAGGTTAAACCAGTGTTGGCTATGCAATTAACCAAAAAGGGCCTCTTGATTCATATTTTCTTTTCCATATTCCGGTTGGACAAGAGAGTTAATCTTGAAGACTTGAACCAAAACGTATCAGAGAATCTCAGAACCTACCTGAGACGTCCAGAGTAAGAAATCTAATTTAATGTGTCGTCATATGCCATTGTTTTGTCCTCATTTACAAGGCCGTGGTTCCTGTTTCTTTGATGGTTCTTTTCTTTATCATGCAGCCATCCAAACAGTGAGAGAAATATTGGCACAATATGAGTTAGGTGCGGGATGCCTCCGTGTGTGGTCAAGAGAAATCCTCTCCCTTACAAAGCAAACAACCCTTACGAAGCAAACAAGTGGCTGAACCTCTTTTATTACTAGTTATGAAAAAAAATAATGTCTTTTAGATCTTAACTCAATTTCCCTCCTTATCCACTTCCACCTCTCTTGTTCCCTTCCCAGGTACTTCTTCAATCCTTGATGGATTATTGCAGTGTTCATCTCCATCTTTTCCTATGAATTATGTTTCTGTTATGGTATTAAAAACTTTGGCTCTTGGAATAGGATTATTATTATTATTATTATTATTATTATTATTATTATTATTATTATTATTATTATTCTTGTTTAGGACCTTCTGAAACTGTGGAATTCTCTCTTTCTCTGTTTTATTTTGGCAGCAATTTGATGATAAAGGGTGCTTGATAATTGGAAGAATGCAAGCTTGTCTTAAATGAAGGGAGAAAAAGAAATTTCTTTCTGAATTGATTCTTCTGTTATGTTATGTATCACAGCACCCCAAACATCAAATATAGAATCAATGAAAATGGAAGGAAAATTTATTTAGGCTGGCTATTTATTCCTGTGTTATAGATTTAATTCTTGTATTGAATCCCTTCTCCAGATGTTGGCCTCATTTTATTTTCTTCCTTCGTTGCAGCTATCATCATTCCTGGTTGAAAGCAGAGAAAGTTGCAGTTTATATTCCCTGTAATTTCTAAAAACCAAGTTAATTTCATGTCTGATCTTCAAATTCCTAGTGCCTTCGGTATGCCATTCTTCTTTGGTTTAACACAACTCTACACATGCATTTATGCCTCAGCGAATGGTATTTTTATCAATTTAAGTTAATCTGTGTGAGTTGTGCAGATCCGTTTGCTGAGGCAAATGTTGATAACTCAGGTGCTGGAGCAAATAAATACATTCATGTTCGTGTACAGCAACGTAATGGTAGGAAGAGCCTAACCACCGTCCAGGGGTTGAAGAAGGAGTTTAGCTACACTAAGATACTCAAGGACCTTAAGAAAGAGTTCTGCTGCAATGGCACTGTAGTCCAGGATCCAGAGCTTGGCCAGGTTTGCCTATGCCATACTAATACCATTCTACAATTTCACCAATTTTTTTTTATCTGTTCAATTACATTTATGGATACAGGTTATTCAGCTTCAAGGTGATCAAAGGAAGAATGTGTCCACGTTCCTTGTTCAGGTATTTGGAATTCTTCTGAAGCAAGATTGATTCTTTTTCAGTTTATGGTATATGGAATTCTTGATTTCCTGCTCCTGGGATTTTTGCAAACAGGCTGGTATTACAAAGAAGGAAAACATAAAGATTCATGGTTTTTAAGCTGGTACGAAATAGTTGTAGCAGTTTGATGATCTTCACAAGGCTGTAATTCACTGCTACATCTAGTTGATGATGAATGTTTCATACACTCCGTCTTCTTATAGTTTTTCTTGTGTCATGTACTACAACCAACATCTGCTGAATTATGTCACAATCTTTTCTCAACTGTTTGATTTTCCCTCATGTAAAGCTACTATTAATCCAGCCAGTGGTTCATGGAGCTTATGCTAGCTTTTCTAATTTCTCCGCTCTAAGTTTTGAAGATGATGAATTATCACTGCAATGTCTCGAATCTTTCTGTAGTTGCATCTTATCTCTTCGACTGTCAAAAGCAGCAAACATGGATATCGAATTTCTGCTTTTAAAAAGTGGAATCAGTAGTCAAAGACATTTTGTGCGAAACTTATGGTGATTGGAGGATATTATGTAGTGCTTTGAAGAATATCTGAAAGCATTCTCATGACACAGACATTTTACCAAACACTTCCCGGACATAATCATGTTCAAATCTATATTTTCTATTGTCCTTAGCTGTACTCATTTGCCACCCCCAAAAATGTTCACCCACAGGCTTTTTCTTCTTTTTAGGTAACTTGAATGCATGATCAGGGCTTTGAAATCAAGCAGGTTTATACCTATTTATGTATCCTGTTGAATGTTGTCAATAAACTATTTTTTAAAAATAAACAAATCAAAAAGGCCAATTTCCCTTTTTCTTTTTTTGTTTTCATGAATTTGATATCAATACCGATTGCAGCATGCCACAAAATAAAACAGCCAAAGCCCACAGAGTCCCTTTTTTTTTTAAACCTTTTATATATCTCAACTACCTATCAAACCAATTAGACCAAGTATGATAAGTTGTTATTCAACTACCATTCTTTTCATTGAAAAGAAAGCATTATTACTTAAGCGCCTCCATTGTGCCAAGAACAACCGCACCCTCATTGGCTCCTCATCGAAATTCTGTTTTTTGAGCTCCCCTCGTTCTCAGCTCTGGTCTCCTCCACCTTCGCATGGCTGACTCCGAACATTCCTCCTCTGATGACACTAATGCTGATTCTCAAGGTACCCTATTTCCCATCACCATAGTTGTCTCAATCGCTTGAAGCATAATCCATAAGAACTTTGTACTTTGTTGTTCACATATGGTTACAACTTTTAGTAAGTGTTTCCTATGTCATTCATCTGCTTGTTTTCTTGCATGTTTGCTTAGAGGAAACGAATGAAGGATCAAAGTTGGAATTCTCCGAAGATGAGGAAACACTAATAATAAGGATGTATAATCTAGTTGGGGAGAGGTAAGTTTGTTTTCTTCAATTTTTTCTGGCTTACTTTCATTCAATCCTTTCTCCAAAGTTTCGAGCTTGTGATATAAATGAAATCAGGTGGGCTCTAATTGCTGGGAGGATTCCTGGAAGGACAGCCGAGGAAATTGAGAAGTACTGGAATACCAGGCACTCCACAAGTGAATGAATTGATGGATGGCTGACTTCTGTTGAAAAATGTAGACACTAGTACTAGATGGAATATCAGGGGCTTAATTCATTTTCTTGTTCACAAATTTTCTTCTCTTTGCATGTGACTGTGCAGTGTTAATGTAAAGGTATTTTTTTTCCTAAGTTAAATTGGGGAATATCTCCATCCATATGACTATAAGGTAGATTCCCTAGTGAAAAATCACTCTTCTACATAAATTTTGGACTTCTATGTTATTGGCCAAGGGAGGGTACTTTTGACTTCTATGTTATTGGCCAACGTAGGACTACTAAATCTAATTCAGCCAGCAAAAAATAATAATAAATAACATGATAAATCCAAAATTCTAAATATCCTCTAAAACAGTGGGAAACATGTTTTCAATAATTTTCCTGCACTTATTGTATTAAAATATTTGATCATTTTAGTACATAAAGGAGGGAAAAGCAGCTGCCTTAACCATTTGAAGCAAATCATCACCCAAGTAAAGCCTTAAAAAGTAAATATAAAGGCAATAAAAAACAGCTGAAACATGGTATTCTTATGTAAGCTTTACAACTGGTAATCAGGGAAGAAATAAGGCAATCTAGATGTGTCACAGCAGTTACTTAACAGTTTTTTTTTTCTCTCAGTTAGTAGTAGAATCCACTAGAAGTGTTAAGGACGTTCATAGTAGAATCAAGCAACAAGACCGTAGGCTATTGCATTGACATTGCAAAAACACCAAGATATTGCATACATCAAATTTGAAAACCAATTGCATTCACATAGCTAAAAAGCATGGTCGAAAGTTGAAACTCCAGGATAAATTTGTTTTATGGTTGTGCCACAAAAACCACAAGCTTCAATTCCTCCATTAAGGGAATGGTTCTTAGGAAAAACTAATGTCTCCTTGTAAGGACTCCACCACACATAAAAGGAATTGGAGAGAATGGAAAACACAAGTCACGCAATTGCAAATTTGGTATATATATATATATAAACTTATGAAGGAAATTACTTTTATGTTGCTACAGCTCCAATCAGTAGATAAAGAAAGACTGCTCATCAAGTTTATAACATAGACATTAAAAGTTCTGGATCTTTAACAACAAGGGTAATTTAGAGTTAGTGAGTTACCAATGACAGAGCAATTACAATATCAAATGATCAAGACCAAGCTGACATTCACTATACATTGCTTTGCTTGTAAAACTTGGTGTCAAGCACTTGCTTACCACACATGGCACATACTCCTGCACAAATTAAAGAAACTTTCAGATTTAAAAAGCAGTCTATCAAACCACAAGATCACCATAAGCAAACAATCATACCTTTAGAATAAGCACAAGTGTGACAATACTTGGCATCTTGGTGCACTTGCTGCTTGCAAATCATGCACTTTGTATTTCCATATGGAGTCCACCTGCAAGCAAAAAACACCAAACAAACTTAATCAAAAGTGTAAAATAAGTATACCAGATACCACTAAATAAGATAACACAAAAGGGGAGCTTGATCAATGATATCAGCTTATCAGAAGAAGTCATATACATCTTAAGCTATGCTTTTCGTTATCTTAAAATTGCAGAACATGAGATAAACAAAATCTCTCCCTTTAACTAACAAGTAACGGAATCCAAAATTTAGGTTGGCCTCAGACTCGAACCAAGAATCAGGTCAAGCTACCATTAGTCAGGGAATGGATTTACCCTTTCATGCAAATAAAATCCTTTAACATCATGGATCTAAAGTTCTAAACCATTCTATAGCATCATAATCTGCCAAACAAATTTGAAATCCCAAATTTCCTAATTATCCAATGATCAGTTCCAAGAGCTCAATCCCACTTGCAATAATTAAATACAGCTAAAACCCAGATGAGAAAACATCTAAAACTTGCAACTTGAAGAGGGAAAAAAAATAAAGCAGTTAAAGTAGGATCCTTTGGCAGGGTTTGCGGAAAAGAAGCGCACCTATTCTTCTTCGAGAGGAGCTTATTCTCGTTGATTTTGCGGCCACCGCCTTCGGTTGTGTTGCTAGCACCTTCCTTCCACTTATCCGGCACAATCACCTTTGAAAGCTTCTTCTGACCTGGGAATCAACGATCAATTAATTCAATTCCCCTCTGAACAATAATCAAAGAAAATTACTTGTACTACCAATACTCATAATTGGAAAGAGATTCCAGAAACTTACACTTCTCGCAGACCATTTTAGTGGTTCCTTCGACTCGCTCTGTTTTCCCCCTCCGGAGATCGGAACCCTAACGATAGTCCTTTTGGGCCTGTCTCAGGAGGAGAGGGGTATTTGATACCTTTTTTGATATCTCGTTTTTAAAAGGCCTCTTGTCCGTCCATATAATGACCAAAACACCCTTGGACCAGGAAGTCTATATAATTGGTTTTATTTTATTTTATGAGTTCTTTTAACCTGTGTTTAAAGGAATAGATAGAGAACATTTTTTTAATATTAATTATAATTAAAAATAAAATTTGATATTTATTTAATTAATTATTTAATTAAAATAATATATATAGTATTAGTGATAAGATTAATATCAATTTTTATTATTTTTTATATTAATTAATATGAAAAATATATATATTAATTATAAAGACATAAATTAGATAAATTTTTATTTTATTTTATTTGAATAGGGGCAATTTGGAAAGGAAAAAATATCATTAATGAGATTTGAAAACATAACCATAAAGTCATTTTCACTCGATTAAGGATCTCAGCCATTAAAACCAATGTGGCGATTAGTAATTGATTTTATTTAGCAATCTATATAATTTGCTCACCTCGTGACTAATTTTTAATAATTTATTTAATTTGTTTAAAGATAAATTATTTATTTATAAAAATTATAATTTTATTATTTTTTAATAAAAAAATTAAATATTTTTTTAATAAAATAAAGAGTAAACTTCTTTTTTTTTTCAAAATTCTTTGAGTGATATTGTGGATATTTTATTTAGGATAGGAGTAAGAATCTAGTTACTCTACTTTTATTTTAACAGAGTTTCTCCCGCCGGGATCCTCAAAACCGTGTCCGTTAACTGAAAAAATATGAGGTTCGGTGGTAGCATTAATCTCCATCACTCCATATATGATAAGGTAATTCCTCCACTCTTTGATTCAATAATTTTATAATGAAAATTCTGCTGTTTTGTTATCTTCATGACATAATTGGTAATTGAAATTTTGCTTCCTTAGTTTCGGACTCTGTGTTTAGAAGAAACTATAGTATATATGTAATTGTAACAAATCAGTAACTCCTTCTCAGTCTAAATTTTCTCTTCGTATAGACTTGTGAAGTCCCAAAGTTGATCTCAGGATAAACATTTCGATATTTAATTTAGTAATAATTTGATTTATTCTTAAGAAGAAATGAAAAGAAAATTTTAAGTCGATTTCAATTACCTTCAAGAGGTGACACTCAAGTAGATTTGGCAAACATGTGGATTGGGTTAGGTTTGGATTGGGTTAATTTGGGTGACGGGTTATACAGGTTAGTTCATAAACGGGTTACGAGTTGAAAAAGTCTAATTTTCACCTAACCCTAACAGGTTACGGGTTAACCCGCATGTTGACTCTATTTTCATTATTTATAATTATTTTTTATTAATTTTATTATATATAAATAAAATTATATATTTTTATCTTTTTTTAGTGTTTTGTTTTTGTTTCACTCTGTGTTTTTTATTGTGTCCCCTATACATGTGTATTTTGAGAAAAATCTTATAGTTGTATAAAATATTATGTTTCGTTTTACTATTTTACGTGTAATATTTTTATTTTTTTTGGAATATGGTTTTTTTTTTTTATTTTTCTTTTGACATTTTTTTGTGTATTTTACCCCTTTTTTTTTGTTGTGATTTTTCTTTTCTAAACATTTTTTTCTCTATTTTTTTGTTTTTGTGTTCTCATCTCATCTTTTTTTATTTTTTTTTTTGTTTTCTTTTTTTTTTTGTTATTTTTGTATTTTTTTTTATACGACAAAAAAATATTTGGGTAATTAGATCAAATTTATCATAATTTTTTATTTTTTCTCTACAAATTAGGGAGTATGAATTAACGAAAAAAGTTACCAATAGAAAAATTAATTAAGGATAATAAGTATAATATTTTTAAAATAATAATAATAAATAAAATAAATTGTTCAACCTATCAACTTGTAAGTTGATCTTAATCCGATCCGTAATTTGTACGGGTTGATAATACAAGTTATCTATAGGTTGCGAGTTAGGATATGTAAACCTTAACCCATTTTTATAAGATGGCTTAGGTTCGAGTTGACAAATCGAATAAATTTTTGCCACCCTTAAACTCAAAGTATTTATAAACCTTAATGAATATTCACGTGATCTAGTTAACGAAATAATTAAAGTTTGACATTTTCATAAGAACGAGAATCTCGGGAATAGGGGATTAGGTGAGTGCGTTCCCACTGTAATAATCATACAACTGAGTTGAGTTTAATATGAGTCTCAGCTCAGCTATCAAGTGATCCGAACTCAAACAAGTTGGAGAGGTTCGGACTTAGTACAAACATAGTATATTCGAGATCAATGATCTTGAACCTACCCTTACAATATATCTCATGAAACAGGAACTGTTAAGATCAAAGCAACCATGACAGAGACGGAGGATCGGTTTTGGATTTCCCTGACGAAATTATACATCAAATCCTACCACACCTTCACATGAGAGTTGCTGCTCAAACCAGAATTTTGTCCAGCAGATGGAAACACATATGGAACTCTTACCCTGTTTTTGATTTCTGTCAAAATTCCTTATTTAATGTTGATTCCCATAGACTGGCCGGGTGGGAGCTTGACGATGGTATTTCTAAACAAGTAAGGCCTCAATATTGGGAAACTTTAGAGAAGTTAACAAACATTGTGGATCAGAAACTTGAAAAATTCAGTGAATGCAAGCTTGGGATCCAGAAATTTAAGCTTTCCATTGCTCTTGCCGACCAAGAATTCCATTCTTTCGTTGATAAATGGATGGAAGTAGTCTCAGAAAAACATGTCAAAGAATTAGACCTCTGTATAAGGGCGGAAGGTAAATTTGGTTACGTTTTGCCACAAACAATATTTGCTGCTAAATACTTAACTGTTCTAAAGATTCGTGGTTACAACCTGATGCTGGAGGATCCTGTTATGAAGAGTGCTGTAGACCTTCATTCTCTGCAAATCTTGTCTCTGGAGAATGTATACATTGATGAAAAAACGACTCAAAACCTTATTAGTAGCTGTCCTTTTGTGGAGGATTTGTATCGTTCTTTCAATGAGGGCAACTCACAATCCCTAAAGGTCTATGGTCTGGTTAAGCTCGTCAATCTCACGGTAAATATGCGATCAGATAGTCATCTGATGTAATTGGAGTTGTCTGCGTGTCGAGGTTTGCAAAGAGTGTCATCATATGAGGTTGCACTAGATTGTGTATTTGATGATGCTAATTTTCCTCAAGTCAAGTTTATATCTTTATCAGAATGCATATTGAGTAAAGGTTTCAGGATTTCCAGTCACCAACTCAAGACATTGATAATACAAGATTGCTGGGGAGAACTATACATTTTTGCACCAAATCTAATTTTCGTCCATCATGGATATAATTGCTCACATGATCACAAATACCTGCAATTTTTGAATGAACATTGTATATTGAAAGTTGAGATGTTTATTCTAGGAGTGTGTGTCTATACTCCATGGTACATCAGCTTGAAGGAGCATCCGCAAAAGCAAAAGCAAAAAGCAAACCGCAACTCTAGAGGTATCCTTCAGTTCACGGGAGGTATTCTCCCCCCTAATGTTTACTGTACGTTGAATTAGTGTCTGCTTTCTACATAATTAGTTAATATTCATACTGACCTTTAGTTTTTCCACTTTGATAAATTGAGGTTGAATTTAATGGGGAAGAAATTGAGAAAGGTAATTGCCTTTGGTACCACCTGCCCTTGAGTCCCTGGCTGTTGAGCCACATCCAGTACCTTCAGATAATTATGCAGCTACGATGGATAGGTTTTTCTGGTGTTGTCGTCCTCAAGTCTTATCTTGTAGGACTCACTCAATAGATTTTGTTGGGGTATTTTTGTTCATCTTTTGCTATATTCATGTTTATCTAACTTATATTCTAATTGACATAAATGATATAGGTTAAAAATAGATTAATTATATAAATTTTATATTAATTTGTGTAAAAAATAAAAAAAATTAATTTTATTTTAAACACTAATAACACATATGCAATTTTAATTAGATGTTTAACAAAATTAAAGTTATTTTTATTTTTTTATAATAATAGTACAATTAATATGCCTTTAATTTGTATATAAGGGCACACAAAAAACCTTATTTTAATTTTAATAAATAATAATATCAATAAAAATTTAATCAAATTAGTATTCATTAATTTAAAATTTTTAATTTAAGATCAAAGTTAAAGATTTAAATTTTTATTATATAATATTAAGCAACTAAATATGCCTTTAATTTGTATATAAGGGCACACAA